GTAACTCCAAAGAGCAGTGAAAGACTCTGTATTTTAATATCTGCCCATCCACTAAAAGGGTGCTGGATTCCCTTGGGCTGCAACCCATATATATATATACCTATCAACCAAAATATGGGCCTAAATACCTTAAAGGCACTAGATCCTGTCTGATCTTGGAAGGCAACTAGGGTTAGCCCTGGCTAGTATTTGGATGGGAGACCAGCAATAAATACCAGGGGCTGTAGGCTATATTTCAGAGGATGGAACCAGCAAAACCAGAAAATCCTATGATATTCATGGGGCCACCATAAATTGGCAGGCAACCTGAAGGCACACACACACACATACATCAGCCAAGATAAGAGTCAGCCCAAGCCAGAGAGTCAGGCAGGGAAAGGCAGCTGTAATAGTAGCAGACTAGTAGCTTTGAGCCTTGCCTTTATCCTGCATTATACATATGGCTCAGTGTCAGAAAGAGCGATGGCTAACCAGTCAGACTCCTTTAGGGATTTTTAAACTAGCAGCAGAATACTGGTAGAAGTTTTATTGCTTTTTTGTTTGGGACACAGTCCAGGAAAATTGTATCTCAGTGTTATGGCACGAGCCATGAGAAGACCAAAAAATACTGTAGTAGTAGTGAGTACAGGTATGCCTCAGTTAATAAAATACATGTGTTCCTGGGCATTACTTCTTTAACAGAAAATTTGATACAGAGGCAGACATAACATGGAAAGAATAGGGATAGATTCCTTCACCACAAGAAGAAAGAGGAGTTACATGTGTTTCAGTAAACTTTTATTCAAAACTAACAACCTGCACATTTGAAATGAAACAACCAGATCATGTGAGCCTTGTATAAGTAAACAAAAAACATTTCGAACCTTCCGGAGATCAATTGAAGGCTACTTCCAAAATGCATATAGGGATGATTTTTGCTTTCACCAGTCTGCACAATTACTTGAACTATGGCTTATGTCTCATTGACTGATGAGTTCCATTTCTTTTTTTCTTTGCTTTCAGAGTCAGAATGGAGGAAAAGCTGAAGAATACGTCAGAGGAAAGGGAGTAGACTGCGCTGCCCTCACTTGCATGGTGCAGTTGGCCCAGATCATTGTCGGGGTGGGCCTGGGCTTTCTGGTCAGTGCTGCTGGCAGTGTGGTGGTGGTGGTGATCTCTTCCTCTGCCATTGCATTATTTGGCTGCTGTTTTGTAGCATTCTTTGTTCGCTATGTGGACGAGAACAATAAATAGTTGATGCTCTGGAGAAGCCACTGGTCTTTTATTACAAGGTGGAAGGCATTGTTATTCTTTGGCTATGTGAATATGGTGCTGAATCTACCTTGACCTTTTCTGTAGCACCAGTAACTCTAATTTAATTGCATGTGTGTTGGGGGAAAATTGAGGGAATCCATTCTCCCAAATAGACAGGGCACTTTTGTGGTTTGGGGTTAAGCTGGATTAATAGTCATCCCCTTATTATGTGAGACAAAGAATCTTCAAGTCAGGGGCAGGATAACATGAATTTTATATGTTGATCTTCCTTTACTACTACTACTACTACCTCCTCCTCCTCCTCCTCTTATCTGAGAGCATCTGTATATTCATGTTCTCTTAAACTGTTGGGGTGTAATTAATCTGCTTTCTTGAGTTGGGTAGTCTTGAGGTCATTTACTCCATCCTATAGCTTGATGCAGGATCAACCATGTAGGTCTTTGCCATCCCTGAGACAAATGCCGTCAGGCCTGTATCTCTTCAATGAAGATGAACCCACCACATTCCAGAGAAAACTATCCCATTGGTGAATAGCTCTTATGGGTAGAAACCTCCCAATAAATAACCAGAACCTACTTCCCTGCAATTTCCAACCCTCTGCAGTAAGAGAGAACAAGTCTGGTTCACATTTCACATGACAAATATTTGAGGACAGACACGTTCCCCCTTAATCTTAAACTAAACACTAAACTTCTTCAGTTGTTTCAACCATCCCTTGTTGGACTTCATTTAGGATTGAATATGATAGGTGGTCCTGAATATGCATGCTTGTTTAAGAAAATAATAATAAAAAATTCTTGTTGGAAGGGACCAAGGACGTTATCACACGGGGAGTCGCAGGGAGAAAGTGGAAATAAACAGGCACAAGCAGAAGTCTTTAATTTACAGGATTTGTCCCATTCTGCCTTGGCTGATTACTAAATTCGAATTTAAAAGGGGGTTAATTCGAACGCAAACCTGATCTTTTCATTTTCGGGATTTTTGAGGATTTGAAAAGATCAGGTTTTTGTTCGAATTAACCCCCTTTTAAATTCGAATTTAGTTATCAGACGAGGCGGAACGGGACAAATCCCGTAAATTAAAGTCTTCTGCTCATCTGGTTTATTTCCACTTACTCCCTGCAACTCCCCGTGTGATAATGTCCCAAGAGTTACTTTAATCAGCATTTCTGTATGAGCAAATGCTAACTGGTCTACTGGAAAATGGCTAATGGCCACCTAGGAGGCTATGATGTATGTCCTGCCTGTTACATTCATTCATTCATTCATTCATTCATTCATTCATTCATTCTCTGTGGTTGTGTGTATCTGAGAGAGAGAGAGAGAGATGACTTCCCAGCAAGCTTGTACCCTAACATCTCTCTGTATATATCACCTTGCAAACTCAAAACAGAGACAGATTTTTAAATAACAATGATAATAAAGGACAGAGAGAAAATGTAATGTTGGTTTTAAGGGCATCTTATTGACTTAAGTGTTTGTATTTTCATTTAAAACAGCTACTTGCTGTTAGAAGTCCCACATTTATCTCAATGCCTTCTTTCTTTAAATAGGCCCTTGACAAAGAATCTAGCTAAAATACACAGATTTGCCTTCTGTAATTAAATATTTCAAATGGAAAGAAACAAGCTCAAGAAAATGAAATGTCACTCCCAAAATAAAGTGCAATTTATTACAGTAGAATTTGAATTTGGTTTTGTTTACATATGCAAAGCATTTTTCCCTTCAGTTTTTTTAAAAATTATGATATTGAATAAATGCACCAGCATGTCAATAATTTATTGAGTGGTTGCAGGAGTCAGAGGACATTTGTCAACTCAGCTGTTAGACAAATATTTTGTCTACACACAGATATTTAGTATACACATAGCTTTTTAGAAAGCACTTCCTATCAAGAATAATTTTGTAATCTGCAACCTGCAATTTTGCAATTCTTACAACTGACCCCTCCCTGTAAAGCAGGATATAATATTAATAGATATGGGTATATCATTGTAAAATAGTGCCTTGATGGTGGCCATGCCACCTGATGAATGTATGGGGTTTATCACACAGGGGACAATTGGACGTATAAATGGTGATTGACCTGTCAAAATAGCGCAATTGCGCTAATGGTTTTAACATGTCGTCATGATGAAATGCGATTAAAGTGCCATTATCCCGTGGATAACCAGGCAACAAACAACAAAATCATTCACAGGATTTTCCCATGAATGATTTTTTGCTGTTTATGGCCTGGTAACTCCCTGGTTATTCCCAGGATAATGTCTCTTGTGTGTGAAAATGTTAATCACGTTTTAATCTCGGTTGCAAGATTTTGATGGGTTAATCTCCATTTAAACTACCAATTTCCCCCCATGTGACAAATTCCTATGGCAGAGGCAAGATTTTAAATCAGCTGTGTAGTTTGAGTGTTGGACTATGACTTTGGGGATCAGGGTTCAATTCCCAGCTTGGCCATGAAACCCACTGGGTGACTTGGGCAAGTCACATTCTCTTAAATTCAGGGGAAATCTTGCCAAGAAAACTCCGTAAGTTGGAAATTACAACAACAAAAAGTTGTTGTTGTATGCCTTAGGGTCACCATAAGTTGGAAATTACTTGAAGGCATACAACAACAACAACAACAACATTCTAAGTAATGCTTTAATACTTTGAAGGCACCAAATTCTGTCTGAAGTTAAGGAGATTCAGTACTGATTACTGAATTACTAAGGAAGGGAACTGCCTATAGGCTGTATTTAGAGGAAGGCAATAACAACCATTTGAATAAATCTTGCCAGTCCATGACAGGCTTGTGACAAGCTACAGTTGACTTGAAGACATATAACAACAAATGTCCTAATGAACTATCGGTACTACCTTATCTTTCAAGGCACTCACTGCCATATTTTAACTGATCTAATGGAGGCTATCTCTCTTCTCCCTGAGGCTGGGCATGTCAGTATTTATACCGGTTTGTCTAATCAATATGAAATACATGTGAAGCAAGCACTAGCAACTGGTGACTGTGAGGCAGGGGATAGTAAATCTGCTCTGAGATTTAGGCTGAACCTGTTTGGGGGATGAGATTCAATTCTTTGGATAGCTTTATTAAAGTTCCAACTGGAACCCAGAGCAGATTCATCTCCTCTACTGATAGTGGAGCCATATTACCTTCCACTGGGAGCCTACAAAAATGTTGTCGTGTATTTGTTGTTGTGTGCCTTCAAGTTGTTTCCGATTTATGGTGATCCTAAGGTGAACCTATCACAGGGTTTTCTTAGCAAGATTTGTTCAGAGGGGATTTGCCATTGCCATCCCTTGAGGCAGAGTGAATGTGACTTGCCCAAGGTCACCCAGTGGTTTTACGTGACTGAGGTGGGATTCAAGCCTGGTCTCCAGTGTCATAGTCTAGTGCTCAAACCATTAAGTGATAATTTCATTCCAGCTTGTCTCTGAGAATTTATCAAAATTTGGGAATTTATTTCAGTTGAATTTATTTCAGCTTTTGAAAAATTGGATGTGGGAGAAACTGAAATGAACACACTTGCCCATCCATGCCTAGAGCTTTGGAGGTTTAATTCTTAAAGGCCTGGTGTTGTACTCTTGGTATCCAACCAGGTATTCAACCATGTTTGTTATGCCTTCAAGTCATTTCTGACCTATGTTGATCTTGAGGCAAGTGGGGTTCAGGACAGGTTTGCCTTTGTCTTCCTCTGAATCTGGGTGTGTGTGAGTTGGCTAAGGCCATTCAGTGGGTTTTCACAGCTGAACTGGAATTTGAACCCTGGTCTTCAGAGTCCTAGTCCAACACTCAAACCAATATGCCATGCTTGCTCTCATTCAATCATTTTAGTGCTGAATTAAGAGTGGCCACCACTTTTTTTCTGAGATGCTCTACATCTTTAACAGCTACATGGCACTCAGGCACTACACGGTTCCCTCCATGCTGGAAATGCCTGTACCTATTTAATTGGCTGGCATAAATGTAGGTGGAGATTGCCTCAATTTATTTGAAAGAATTTATTGAAATTGTCAATTTTTTCATATTTCCATGGAAAGAATTTGAGTTTGTTTCTTTTAAATACTGTATGTGAAAGAAAACAAACAAACAAACAAACAAACAAACAAACAAACAAAAATGACAGCTTTCCCCATTCTTACCTACATGTAAGCTGGTGTCAACCGAGGGAGAGGAGAAAAATTACATACCAAATGCTTTAAGATGAAGGCACGGCAACTGAATTGAACTACAGGATCCAGCCAGCACAGACATCATCCTGGCTGGAGGATTCTGGAAGTTATAATCCCAAAAAGTAACTTCCCCAAGCTCTGAAACAAGAGAAGAGAAGCCACAGAACCCATCTGAAGGCAGAATTATAGAGAACTTGCCACAGAATCCACAGAAATAATTCTGGAGTTTCTTCATAGATGGAATGAGATTGAATTCTAAGTCACCTCTCTGCCCAGCAGGTTATATCTACACCAGAAACTGATAAAAATTTTCTCAAGAACAATGAGTGTAGCCTCCTTTAAAGAACACCACTCAAAAGAATACCTGGTCTGAATGGCTGGCTACACGGTAAAAGACATGCTTTGCATGCAAAAGGTGCCATCTCTGTTCTCAGCATCTCCAGATGGAGCTGGGATGGAAGCACTAGGGGAGTGATAAACCTTGAAATATAGGCCTTCATCACAACAATTCCTATGGTGACACCCCCATGGATAATCCAAAGATGCAAGTGGCTAAGTTGATCTGTATAAAAAAAGAAATTTCTTTGAAGTGTTCATCTCCCACCAGGACCAGGTCCTTGTTTTTAAAGTCACATGTTGTACACATTTAAAACCAGGCCATCTCAAATTATTTTGGATTACAACAGGGCTAGCTCACAACAATTCCCTGTTGCTGAGAAGAGCCATTTCCCCTGCAACTTCAATGGGGACTGCAGCTAAAATCAGAGAAGACAGAAGAATCTGGCTGTGGGTGGCAGATGATGCTATCGTCCCTGATAATCAAAATATCGTGGGACATTGTTCCTACAAGCTCTGGCTCCACTATGCCATTGAATGGAAAAGTCCCTGTATGAAAACTTGCATATCCACAGCTACAGTCAGTCATTCTGAAAAGGAGTGGGTGGGTGGGTAAGTGTCTTTCTGTGAAGGTAACATTCTCAAGAGTAATTGGCAGTATTGAGCTGGTAGTGGATGGTACATGAATATATGGGTGAATATACTTCTCTCTCTCTCTCTCTCTCT